AGGTATCAAGGTGTCCAAAGGTTTCACTGGTGTGTGTAAGCGCCCTCAAGTTCGCTATGCGTTTCTTGGTTTCGCTATGACGAGAGTCTTGAAGCATTGCTGCCCAGCAGTGCAATTGTGTAGGCCTGGTAATCCATTTGTATAATTGCTCAGGCCGTATTCCTCCCTGTGCCGTGCTCATAAGACGAATTGCCACGAATTGCCAAACTTCTGATTCTACCCAATCTTGTATGCTGTGAACATTGCCGGCGAGGGTAGAAAATTCGCCTGCCTTGAGACCTGGGACTGCCGCCAATTTTAACAATAGCTGAAAAGCCAACGTACGTTGGTCTGTGGTCTCGTCGACGAACTGAAAGCAATGTTTGGTCAAAGCTTCAAATGTCTCCATTTGCGTCAGACCTCGGGCAGAAATTAATCTAGTCAATTGCATACTGCGGCGTAAGAGGCGGAATGATATAGGTTGCGTAGGATGTTGTTCGCCTTGTGTCATTTCCAGTCGGTTGTGGCTATGCAGTAGGTCGAGGTAGTCACTTGTATCTAGTTGTATTTTTTCGTATAGAGCAATAAGTCTCAAAAGCTCCTCAAGGCAATGAAAGGTAGAGGGCTGGGGTGCCATATGCAATATTGTTTTGAGGCACTGGTGCCAAACATGGCTCCCGTACAAATCTTCAGTCGAGGTGGTCCGGGTACGATACATAGCGTGGATTATGTAGACCCATTGTTTGGCAACCCTGTCATCGAGGACTTTGGCCGGTGCTCGTTGCTTGAGATGGTTGTCAAACGGATCGAGAGCTTGGATAAGGTCGTCGTTAGAAATCGTCCTTTCTTCGATCATCTTCAAGATCCGAATAACATAGGGCTCGCAAATCTTCTTCAGTGCGTTTTCGTCTTCGAACTTGTAAAATTTGGCGAGCCGCTCGTTCATATCACCTCGGGCCTGTTCTATTGATGTGAGAGTCAATGCCATGGGCACCATAACCGCCTCCGGTGGTGGTGTAGCAGTTGCAAGGTTGGTATTTTCTTCGTGCCCCATGTCCTCGAGGTTCCTGAGAAAGCGCTCAAACAGACCAATCTTTTTTTTATGGCGATCATTCGGTGCAACAGGAGCCTCCCAAGTCCACTCGCCGAGATTAATGGGCACTTCGATCCTCCAAGGAAAGGGTGAAGCATGAGAATTGGGTACAACGGCAGCGATATGTCGCTTGCCTAAACGGCGTCGGCTCTCGAGAGGCCCGGCATATGAGCTTAAGCATCGACTAGGAATCGGATCGAAGCGTTGGCATCGGTCAATGGCTTGGGCTAATAGGTTATTGGAGATCCAGATGCCACTTGGTGAGCCGGCGACAGGACACGCACGCGTGCGCCGGTACAGTGCGAGATAGTGCATCGTCGAAGCATTGGAATTCCTCGAATCGCGGGACAAAGTATCGGAATTCGGTTCATGTCAGCATCGTGGGTATGCTCTGCGCAAAATTCGCGTTAGAGCTGGTTTCTTGGAAGGTTGTATGTAAAGGTGGGTGGGTGATAGAACTTTCAATACGAAGCATTTGGCCCACACAAGTGGCCAACCAGAAACATGATATTACCCCAGGTTCTTTGAGTTCCCATGAGCTCACTGGGGACCTACTTAACTATAATAAGTGAATGCCTCAGGCGCTATCAATCATTTTCTACCTTGCTCCACAAACGAGTCCTCGGAGGCACTTCCTGGTAGTCTCCTGGCTCTGTCATAAAGGCTCGAGGGAGGAGGAAAGAAAACTCGGGTCCTTGACCCTAGGTAGATATAAAGAGATTCAGGTAACTTAGTATAAATTTAGGATACCTTTAGCTACATCCTGTATCAAGGCCTGATATTTTCTTGCTTCCCGAGGATTGAACTACGAGACCTGTAACTTTAAACATGGTGCCTCACAGGAGGCAAAAAACTTGAGGGTCTCTATTCCAAGGTATGATAGGTCACAAAAAGACTTAGGTACCTAAGTTTAGCATATCTCAACAGGCCTTAACAGTTTTTGATCGTAGCTTAATGTTTGAAGTTTTGTTGCTCCCAGGGAGGTTGGAAAATACACTGATAAAGGCATCTAGATTTGATCTTCGACTTACCTGACTGCCTACCTTAATTTTGTCATTGCAAGACTTGGATTCTTGGCTTTTCTCTTCCTCTCGGGACGAATAGGTGTTCAGAAGCTCCAGTGCCCCTTTTGTCAGATGCTGATACGCTGTGTCTTGGGTCGTCCCTGCGTCTCCCTGCATCTTATTACGTCTTCCGCAGTTGACTGCATAAATAGTATCAGTTCGGCTCGAAATTGCATCTGACAAGGCTAAACTTCAAGCTTCCGGGGTCCGTATACTTTCCGTCAAGGTTGCGGCGCTTTTGACAGGCTTTTGATAGCCACACGAGATCCCTGCCGCGGCTCCGGCTGGCCACTACGGTGAGCGTGGAGCTCCCCTAATTGGCAACATCAACGAACCAGCCTGTCCCTGCTCGCGCTCGTCTAATACTCCGTAATCCGTCCATACTGTTTGTCGCCTTCTCCTGAACACAATACTCGTACTGGTTTAATCAACATCGCAACAAGATATCACATACGACACTTTCACTCTGCATCGATCAGCACCGCTCGATGGCTCTGTGTGACTGCTTATCGACACCGACGACGTCACAGAGAAGCTAGATGGAGCCCGTGGTGTATGAGGAGACTCCGTTCGCCGACTACCTCAGAGGTCAGCAAGCATCATTCTCCCTTGCGCGCGACATCGCTTTCCCTTATGTAGACTAACATATCTCAAGATGGGGGAGATGAGCCCCAGGCTGACTGGGCGCCCGGTGCAGTAACGCCCGAACTTGATTCATCCGCTGGTCGATCAAGCCCATCACCACCATCCAGTCCATCTCCTTTCGCACCCACTGGCCGACCTTTGGTTAAACCAAGATTTCGAAATAAGGCTCCGAATGGGCTTCATTTGCAAGTCCCTAAGCCCTCGTCATTGCGATCTGCTAGCAGGAAATATTCAGTATGTCACCTCGAACTGGTGTGACCTATCAACGATTGCTAAAACTACTTGCCATAGGCTGCGGTTGCAGCGAGTATCGACCGAGCTGACAACGCCAAATTTCTCGAACAATTCCGATATACAATCATTGCGTCTCAGCTTTTAAGTGGCCATTCCGGCCTGGGGCAGTCGCAGCTAGACAACAGGGGTCCTAGCCCGACAACGAACGAAGACGAATCCCTATTGTCTACGGAAGGAATTCTGGCATCAGTTCTTGCCGCTCTTGCGGTCGCGGTTGTTCTGAGTTGGGTTCTTGGCAGTGGTGTTACCAAGAAGAGGCTGGTCTTTCTTCTCGTGCTTTGCGCAGCGGCCGTCCTGCTTGGCCAGGTTTACATGAAACGACAATGGCTCCGGTATCGAAGATCGCAATCGCTGTCTGAAATCACTTCTTTCGTGGAAAACTCACACAACTTTGACAGTGCGTCAGGTGCAGCTATCTCTCTCATACAAGAAGTCGAGTTAGTGTCTCGAGGTTACAGACTGTAGGTCTTTCATTTCCTTGCCACCACATGCACTGAACAATTTACAGCAGCGCTCCCCTGCCACCAATCAGCCGTATAGAAGATCGGACCCAAACCCGGCGTTGTGTCAGACTGCGCAAAGCCCTGAGACATTCTTTTCAAGAGGTCCTTGATTCTTACAACCAGGTTTGTACAGTCGTCAACGGATTTGCGGAGCAAACAGACTTGGAAAAATATTATGATATATACGACATTACCGACTTCGACATGTCAGACGCCCGTCAAGGACTAAGTGATGAGGATTTGGACGATCCTGAATCCTTGAGAACTCTCAAAATTCTGGCTGCTCGATTCTCCACCATACGGAAACTATTCCTCTGCGCACTGCTTGCTCTGGATGCCAATAGTGATGCGAATGATTTGCTTCGTTGGACAACGGCCGTAGAGTCTCTTTTGAGCGTGAACAGCTCAACTCAAACTGCTCATGCTAGGATACAGAGTATTCTCAGCGAGCAAGATAGTAAGAATACGATGCGAGTCGTCATATATTGGTCATATGCTCACCCTTCTCTAGCTTTTCCCTCTTCCCCTACACCAAAGAATGCCCTTACGCCTGGACGGGAGCGCTGGAGGGCTCAACTTCGGAAACTTAATTCACTATCAAGCGGGATCAGGGGCCTGCAGGCAAAGCTACAGCTGCTTCGTGAAGAATCTGACAGATCGTTGAACGATTCGAACGACATCTCGGAGCTCGGACCGAACCTAATGGCGCAATATGAGTCCATCGGCATGGATCTGAAAGACCTGATGACCGCATGGGAAGAGGGCAGGGCTGCTTTGGCACTCGGCATCGATAGAAACGAGAAGAGGCTTTCATCCATGAGTACTCTACTGTCGCCTGTTAGTTCTCTTAGTGGACTGACCACTGTGGACGAGAATGGTGGGGCTGCCGCAGCTCTGAAAGCATTGACTGGCGAGTCTCCGCCTAGTTCTGAGTATGCTGGTTCAACTGAACAGGAGGCCCCAGAAGTTTTTGAAGCCGTTGCTCTCCCGCGACCCCGAAGCATGCTCACTCGAGAAGAAAGAATAGTCAAGGTTCGCGAAGAACGAGAACAAAAGGCTCTTGCCCGACAGCACGTTGATGCAACCAAGGGTATGCTCCGGGAGCTAGAGACAGTTATTAACCTACGACCTCGAACTCGTGCCAGCGCACCAGCAGGTCGGATTATGTCAATGTAGGGGTATCGATTTTATGAAACACACATCACGATCATTATCTTCAACACTTTTCAATCGCCTTCTCCTTTACCGAGTACAAAACAATTGTCTGAATCGACACCGAACCGGTTTTTTTTGTTCTTGCTATCGACTTATGAAAATTTCGCATTCGAGCTCCACAGACACATAAATATGTCAAGCACAGGTAGCATCACGACGATACGCACAACTCTCCATAAATGACACTATCCTATAGACAAGCCATGGATGGCTGCGGCGTTTCAGGTTCAGGGTTGGGGATCTTGTTTTTTTTTTTTTTTGCATTATTTGCCCGCTATCATCATTCTAGGCGATCGGGTTTTTGGCGACATACAATCGCACCAATGTGCCCTTATGGACGATAGCTGTAAGACATACGCTACAAATTGGTCTCCTAGGATATCATTCGTTCCTATTTGCCGATCTACCTATTTCGTTCAATGTAAATTATGAAGGGTGACTCGTTCTTGGTAACAAACATATGTATGATAGCTACACCCACCTTAGGTATACATAATAAGTCATTCTTACCTTATGGAGAACTTTGGCACTGCCTTATCTCTCCCGACTCTAACGGCCATTGGAGCCTTGAGGTATCAAGTACCTCAGTAGGTAGCTTGAAGAACTGGAAAGAGGCTCAGAATCTTCCTGGGTACAAAGATACTTCTGTAGTTTGCACCTGCCCTGTCGGATACCTTAGAGGCTAAAGATCGAAAACCTCTTAGTCGGGCAGGAACTAAGGTGGCCTCGGGGGGCAAGAAAACAGCGAACCTTACTGTGGGGTGTTTAAATAAACTTAGCAAAAGTCATCTTAAACTTAGGCTATATTACCTAAGTCTTTTTATCATTTAGGATCGAGGTCCTGTGTTTTCTTTCCTCTCCTAGAGTGGGCATTCATTTCTGTTCTGGACTAACATGTCCCTCTTGAGCTATGATCTTATATACACATAGGTATCGAGATATCGAAAATGCAATAGAATTGGATCTCTAGAATAAGCTATTAAAATAACTAATGTATGTACCTAATAGTCGACAAACTTGGTTAGTCTACACAAAATTCAGCGAGCTGCTGCTTTTCACTTGGATAGGTAGGTAAGTTCTCGATTTTGTTTCTCTCTAAGGCTAGATAGAGTTGAGTGGCGCTTTCTAATTCTCTACCGACGAGAAGCGTCCGCCTAAAACGCGTCGCGTCGGTTGTTTGATGGTCGCGCGTTAAGTGGCTCCCCACCTGCCAGCTAGCGTAAAGCAGCCTAGCAATTTCGCGACAAAAGCACATTGCTACCTGCATCTTGCATTTCATCCACCAGACAACCTCCCGTACTCCTTCCATAGCCATAACACACCTTACTTTGCGAGCCATTCCGCTCACTTATCCTTTGCTTATACTCCCTGTCCATACCTAGCCATAATTTGCGAACAAACCTTTCAATCAGTCAGTCGTCCCGAGTAGCGAACACCCTACCCTTTTATTTATGCGTGGCAGCTTCACGTCTCGTGTGGGAACGTATCAGTGGCATGCTAACAGATGAACAGAGATGTTGGAATCACGACTCGCTCAAGCTGATCTTCTGAAGAAGGTTGTCGATGCAATCAAGGATCTGGTCCAAGATTGCAACTTCGACTGCAATGACAGTGGTATTCAGCTGCAGGCCATGGACAACTCCCATGTTGCCTTGGTCTCCATGTTGCTTACTGCTGGATCCTTCGAGATGTTCCGCTGCGACCGTAATATCTCCCTCGGTGTCAACCTCACATCCCTGACCAAGGTCCTACGCGCTGCTCAGAGTAACGACGTGCTCACGCTTAAGGCTGAGGATGCTCCTGATGTGTTGAACATGCAATTCGAAAGCCCTGAAAACGACCGCATCAGCGAGTATGACCTCAAGCTCATGGACATTGACCAGGAGCATCTGGGCATCCCCGACACCGAGTATGCTGCTACAATTGCAATGCCTTCTGGCGAGTTTCGTCGCATCTGTACCGACTTAATGGCTATGTCAGAATCAGGTTAGTTCCGGCAGAGCTCGCTTCATACTAGGCTACTGGACTGTTATTTAACACATTGGCAGTGATGATTGAGGCTTCCAAGGACGGTGTCAAGTTCGCATGCAATGGCGATATTGGTAACGGCTCAGTGACTCTTCGAAGCCATGAAGATATCGAGAAACCCAAACAAAATGTCACAATTGAGTTGACCGAGCCTGTCGCTCTCACCTTCTCCCTTAAGTACCTGGTCAACTTCTGCAAGGCTGCTGGCCTCTCCGATCAGGTCCAGATCAAGCTCTCTAATGAAGTGCCCCTCTTGGTGGAGTACAATCTGGAGGGTCAAAGCCACCTGCGTTTCTATCTCGCGCCCAAGATTGGCGATGAGGAGTAGAAGAGTGCCATAATGCAATACGACACCATCCTGCTAAATGGCAGAAGCTCGGCGCTTGCGGTCGCAATGATACCATCCAACAGTTCCGACAAAACACATGTCAAAGAGGGCAATACAAGAAATACGGATACCAGGAAGTTGATCTGATTATTTGAAGCCTTTTTGCAGGCGTCAAAGGCGTGTGCTAAGGAAAAGCAATGTAAACGAATGGGGTAGATAGGGAATACAAGGGCGCCAAGTCAGGAGCTTTAGTCCCTTGTTGACCATGACGATAAATGATAATATGAGATCGTGCTTCTCTAAGTTGATATTGACTCGACACAAATTATGCCTGCATGGATGTACTGTGCCATTCGCCAGGTTAGCGTCACATTCTATACTAAGCAACCTGAGCGTTCCGGGTCGCCAGTCTGTTGGCATGATAAGCATATCGTATACATACTCGAAGCAAGTCCTGGTTGCAATTTGAAGTTGTCTTGCTTACAGCCAAGGGGCCAAGAAAAGTGAAGGTCTCTCTCCTAGTTGACAGAGACTGAAGTGAACTCAGATTTTCGGCCCTACCTAGTCATGCCTCAAGGCTACAAGTTTGCTTGCTTCTGGAGGAACAACAACTGTGTACTTAAAAGCCATTCCTACCTAGGTTGTTACCTACTAAGAGTTATTAATTGGTCAAAAGAAGCCTGCTGCGGGGCAATGACTACCAACTACCTTACCTTATAGTAGTTACCGCATCGGACGGTATCGAAGGCTGGTGGGGCACATAACCAAATGGAAGTCACTCGTAGCCTTTCGCTATCAGCTCAGAAGCGTAGAGAAAAGGCTGTCCTCACTACAGTTGAGCCAATCACTCGGTTCATCATTCAGTTCGATACTAGGCGATGAGGCAAGTGTTCTGAAGTTTATATTCTGCAAACTTTGTACATCCAGGTAAGTAGGTTAGTAGGTAGCTTGTTAATGCTCCAGGCTTAACCCGATTTCTTCAAGTTAACTAGGCAGTGACTAATATCGAGCGACATACAGCTCAAAAGACGCCGCAGCCAAGTCTCAGAACCGATTTACTTCCTTGAGTCAACGACAGATTTTCTCTTCTATTCCTTCAATCTTTACATATAACACTCAGGCTTCTTTGTCATTTTATCTAAGCTCCGGTGTTTTAGGCTTCTACTGCAAAATCGTCCGCTGACGCCGACTGAGAGGTTTTGTTCAGTGACGTCTCACACAAGGAAAATCTTTGGTTACCTAGGCTTGCGTAGACTTCTATTCAGAACGCTTGCAGAATATCAAGAAAAAATCGAGGATTAAACTAGTGCTTCTAGTAACATGTCCACCACCCCAACAATACCCGACACACGGGTTCTCGCTGTGGCAAGCCATGTATGTATGCCATCAAATATTCCGTCACTTTCAACATCTTGAGCCGAGGCTGATAGGTCGTTGCTGTAGGTTGTCTCTGGGTAACTATCCTTTTCCCCTCTCGGGGTCACAGTGACTTATATGCCCTAGGTATGTCGGTAACAAGATTGCCGTCTTCGTGCTACAGTCTTTGGGATGTGATGTCGCGGCTCTCAACACCGTACAGTTCAGTGAGTATTCATGTCATCTCGATCGGTGGAGTGAAATAAGGAACCAGGTTTCTAACTCGCGGACTTCTCCTGCAAAGGCAACCACACTGGATATAAGCAATGGAAGGGAACGAGAGTCTCAGCACAGGAGATCATGGATCTCTGGGAAGGACTGAAGCAGTCTTACCTGGATGATTTTGATGTGATGCTTTCTGGATATATCCCAGGCGCTGCAGCCGTCGAGACGGTCGGTAAGATAGGCCGTGAACTCAAGGAAAAGTCAAGTAAAGCACCTGGCAAGTTCTTCTGGGCTCTCGACCCCGTCATGGGTGACAATGGAAAGATCTACGTCTCCGAAGAAGTGGTGCCAGCATACAAGAGGCTCATCCACGATGCGGACCTGATTCTTCCAAACCAATTCGAGGCCGAGTATGTTTAAGATCATTTGCAGAGACTTTAGAGATTCCAACTAACAATTTCTACGAAAAGGCTGCTTTCAGAAGTCAAAATCCATGATATGGACAGTCTCCGAAAGGCCATTCAAGTGCTCCACGACAAGTACAAGATTCCTCATGTCGTCATTACTTCAGTCAACCTTGAGGCACCAGACCATCCACCTTCGCATCTCTCTGTTATTGGTTCAACAATGACATCTACTGGCAAAGCTCGTTTTTTCAAGATTGTCTTCCCATCAATCGATTGTTATTTCAGCGGTACAGGCGACATGTTTGGCGCTCTTATGGTAATCCGCATGCGTGAGGCTGTCTTCAATGCTGACGAGCGGTTGCGGCATACCGCCAGCTGGCTTAGCGACGATTCGGTATCGGCTGTTGAACTACCTCTTGCACGCGCTGCAGAAAAGGTCCTAGGTAGTATGCATGAGGTTCTATCCAAGACCTGCGAGGGCATGAAGAGGGTGGTTGAACGAACAACCGACGACATGAAAGATGAGGATCGAATTGACGAAACTAAGGCGCACCTCGTAAAGAGTAAAGCGGCAGAGCTTCAACTTGTGAGGAATCTGGACTGCTTACGCTCACCCACGACGCGATACCTTGCGAAGGCCATTTAGATCTAATGGGAGGGGGTATGTCTCAGGTTACAATGGCCACTATAGTAGAAACCAGCAAAGATTAGATAGAAATGGGTAGAAATGTTTTGGAATAGATGTCTGGTCATGAATCCATCCAAGGGTTTCACATCTGACTTTGAGGTTCAAATAATTCAGTCTGAGAGCTTCTCTTGCATAATCAGCCTTCCTCAACTGTGTACAGTAAGTCTATTGCATTGCCCCAAAACCCAATTCATTACTTCATGAAACTTGGCAGAAGAGTAGTCTGCATACGCTCCTTCACGATCTAACCAGTGCTGCCGAAGCCACCAGCGCCTCGGACACTCTCCTCGAGTTCTTGGACCTCGACAACCTCGGGGGTGTAGATGCGCTCCAGAACAAGTTGAGCAATGCGGTCGCCCTCCTTCACCTCAAAGTCGGATTCGTTATGGTTGAAGAGCAGGACCTTGACCTGACCGCGGTAATCGGCATCGATGACACCAGCGCCTGTGTCAATGAAATGCTTGGAAGCGAGACCCGATCGAGGGGCAATGCGTCCATCTGTATTCATCATTTTGTCAGCAGGCTGACTTTAAACTGGCTAATCAGGGCTTCAACTGGCTATGTACTTACAGGTTCCGGCAGGCACAGCCATGCTGATATCAGTGTCAACTAGCGCCTTGCCACGGGCGGGAATAGTTGTGTCGTGAGCGGCGTAGATATCATAGCCAGCAGCAAAGGCACTCCCACGAGTGGGCAAACGACCCTTGTCGGAAAGTTTTTTAATCTGAAGTGGCGGGGGACCTTCCATTGTAGCGGCAGTCTTGGCACGTTTGGCGGGAGGTGACGAAACGGCAGAGTTATCAGGGACGAGAGTCTCAGAGGTCATTGTTGAATATGAGGTGGGAAAATGGGGAAGCAATTGTCGTGGAATTCGAAGCTCGAGTTAAGGGCCACCCAGCTTGGGGCCAGGACAGACGCGACGCGGTTGGGTGGGTAACGCTCCTTGGGCTTAAAAGAACACGAGAAATATCGATTATCTCCCATCATGCCGACATAGCCTGGGGTTCGTAGTAGACTCCTTGACTAATAGCATTTTTGCCACGGTATCCTTAAGCTAATCATCATAACTGTTGTTCATACAAGTGTCAAAACACCTGCTTTTTGTATTAAACAGATAATCCCGCATCTCTGCTATTTCTGGCGTTCGATATCTAGCGCGTAATCACTTACAGAATCAACCAATCAGCAGGACTTGTTGTTTAGAGTAACAGGTTGCTTTTATACTCTGCAGGACCTCATTCCGCGCAGATGTTATTGTGGAAGTCTCATCAGGCCTATAAGTTTACCTACAACTATTGATTTATAATGAACTATGCTAAATCCTTACACTGTATTCTAAACTCCATAATCACAAGCCGGGGATTAATTTCTCTCAATGGCGGCAATAATCACCTGTGTGACTTGACAGAAACATCACTACAAGACAGATCGGGTTGTTCTTGAGGCTCTCATTATATCTGTGACTACCTAATCAGGGTTCCAGATCTCGTCCGAAGTCCACCAGTTTGAGCCTTGTTGCATCTTTAGGATGGAATTGTGCAACCTTAGACCTGACCAAAAACCGTGCAGCCGCAGTTTCACGCGACAATTGCACATACGATGCTGAGTTATTGCCTTGTGCTTCAGCAAGCGTGTTGAGAAGCTCCTCTGTCAGTTGCTTCATCTCTGCAGCTGCAGCTGCAATCTCGTCCTGACGCCCAGTGCCCTCATTAGTAGCCTGTCCCCAAATCTCATCGATTCTGCGTTGCCGTTTATCTTCTTTATCGTCACTGTCCTTTGGTTTCCTGAGTTTCCCTTGTGCGTTAAATCCGGCGGCCAAATCATCTCCATCAATACCTATAAGATCCCCGACCACAGGCCCTCCTAGCTCTTCTGCGGCAAGCATGGGTGCCAGCTGATTATCGATGAATCGAAGGAGAGCTTTCATGAGTTTGGACGTCTCTCTGTCATAAGACTTCTTCTTAGCCCTGAGTTCTTGCAATAGTTCCTTTGCTCCTTCTTCCTGGGTGACGTGAGTACCCGCATCCACTTCATCGCGTAACGACAAGATACGCGCAGCCAGAGCATCGCCAAGGAGATTTTGATCTTTGAGGCGCGCTTCATCCACATCAAGCTGACGCGATAGTTGTTCATGACCCGCACGCTGAGAGGCAAGATAGGATTTGGACTCTTGAATGGTCTGGTGAGTCTTGCGAAACGCCAACAGCGTCGGTAACAGCGACCCTGGCGAGGGGAGAAAGGGATCCGACACTGTCACTTCTTTGAGAGCCACCTGTATGAGACGTGCCTGTCCAGCCGCAGACTGTGGGGGTTGGCTTTGCTCTGAACGAAGCTTTAAAACATTAGCCATGGGGCATACTGTGGGTTTTGGCGCGTGAATACCTTCTCCAACTCGTTTTCATGTTGTTGGACTTTCTCTTGGAGTTCTCTCAATGTCTGATCAACATTGGCTATGTACTCCTCTTTCGCTGTAGATTGCGACCTGTAGTCCATTGTCGTAAAGTTCACGCAACTGGCTCAAGCAATGGGCAAGGCTTTTGACTTTTCTAGAGCATGGGAAGAGTTGAAACTTGCGAGGATGGAGGCACCTAAGGTACTAAGGTACTGTGTGTGGATTTAGGTGATCAAGATATGTCACTTCGCGCCTTCCAAGGAGCTGTTCAGGACAGGCAATTGTTGTTCAGATGCAACTAATTCGAGACCTCCAGATATAGCGAGACAAGCATAGTCATCAGGCTTGTACCTATGATATGATTGAAGTTTGTTCGGCTATCAAAAAGAAAGGTCTAGTGCCAGAGGTAGGTATTTACACCGGCGGTTGTGATTGTCTGCTACCTTACTGAGGTAGCATCGCCGTGGAGCGCCTGAGCGCATAGGTATGGCTCAAGCTTTCAAGCCCAGGTCGAGGTGGTGCACGTGACATCCCAAAGCGCTCCGTGCCTAGGTAGGTAGCACCTACCTTACCCAGGATGGATCCTCGCAGGGCTACTTCTCCGGCTTTCTCCCATCTCCTCACTCCAAACCATCGACCTTTTGTCGTGTCATATTCATTCTTCCCCCTTTTCACCCGCCATTGCTCTCGTGAGATCCTCGTTTTTCTATTCTCAGCGATTTCTCGTGATCGTTTCTGAGATATTCTCTTTTTCTTTCTCTTCTGATTGATTTGGATTGGTCCGTCCCTGGTATTGGGATCCATTGCGACAGCGAAAGTTCTAAAACACCGCGCGCCGATCCATTTGAGAACCTGCTTCTCTCGTCTCAACTTCTCATCCTCCGACGCTTCGCGGCGAGATAGTTTGTGCTCCAGATTCTGCGTTTGAGCTCAGGAATCTGGCGACTTTTGCGATCGATAAACCTCGAGTCCGGGTCAGAAGGTTTGAGCTGAGCACTGCCTCTTTTTGCTTTTTAAGAAGTCCGTCCCAGTATCGATCGCTTCACCTATCCTCACCACTATTCAATATTTGCATCACAAGACAATCATTCCGCCCTTCCTCTCCCGCCTATATCTAGGAGATCTTACCGGGTAATTACTCGACACCCGCTGAAAGAGTTCTGGAACCCGCCCTTGAGCCCGAATCTCGAATCCCTCTTCCTTCCATTCAGCCCGCAACACGTATCGTATTTACGCGACATAAGTCACTTCACGAGTATTTCATCGAAGCACACCCAGCGAAAGTCACTACACCAGCACGTTTTCCTTCGAAAACCCCTGAGTGTATATAAGACGAACAATAGAAAGAACGAGACGTTTTCAAATTGTCGATTGTCAGAAAGACTAAACTCGCGTGAACAATAACGATTTCAATATGTCTGCTTCTCCAACACAACCAACCCAGTCGGCCAAGCGCCCTTTGGAAGAAGCTTCTTCGCCCTCACGCGCTGGTGATCAGCCTGATGCCAAACGACCTGCTCTCGACAAGAACAAGCACGACGACGATGTTGAGGTCCCCGAAGCTCCCACCGACGTCCCTGCAGAGGACCATGATGATAAGGTCAATGGAGCCCATAAGTCTGAAGATGATGACGATACCACTTTGGATCATGCATCTGACACGAAGGCCGCCGCTGCCGCCACAGTTGCTGCCTCTGCATCCAACGCTGTAACGTCTGCTGCTGCCCATGACGAGACCTCATGGATTCATATTCGGGCTGTTATCTCGAGCCCGGAGGCAGCTACCGTCATTGGAAAGGGTGGCGAGAATGTTTCCAACATCAGGAAGCTTTCCAACGCTAAATGCACAGTCAGCGACTACCAAAAGGGGGCCGTTGAACGTATTCTTACTGTTAGCGGCATAGTGGACGCTGTAGCTAAGGTATGGTTATTCTCCTGACGCATGGTTTACAAATTAACATCAATTTAGGCTTTTGGCTTGATCATCCGAACACTGAACAATGAACCCCTAAACGAATCCTCAACCGCGTCTTCGAAAACTTATCCCTTACGGCTACTCATTCCGCATATTTTGATCGGCTCCATCATTGGTAAGGGTGGTGCCCGTATTCGTGAGATCCAAGAGGCATCTGGTGCTCGGTTGAACGCTTCTGACTCATGCTTGCCTATGTCAAGCGAGAGATCGCTGGTAGTGATGGGTGTCGCTGATGCTGTCCATATCGCAACTTACTATGTTGGCAGCACCCTTCTCGAACAGCTCAATGATAGGTTTGGAGGTCCCGCTGCGTCTGCCTACGCGACCCGTAGCGGCGCCCCTGCTGGCTCGATCCCAGGAGGTATGCAAGTTGTTCCCTACTCACCCCAACCGGCCTCGGGCCACTACGGACGAAGTGAAAATTACGGCCGCCACAACGACCGGCGATCTCACCATATGCCACCCGCGCCTTATCCTCAGCAATACCCCCATGCAGCTGCTCAGGCCAACCCTGCCATGCCTATGCATTATGGCGGTGCTCAGGGAGGGGGTGCATACGGCGCAGCTCCCCATGCCCAACCGCACATGGCC